CATTCGAGGCTGTCCGTGTCGCCAAGACCCCGCCCCGCCCCGCTCCGGCCGCCTCCCCGTCTGCTTCCACTACCCCCGCAAGAACCACATACCCCTATGCTCCGCTCCCTCTGCCTGACACATTCACTTCCCCGATCACACCCCATCACCACTCCTCATCCAAGCCCCCCACCGTCCCGTTTTCCAATCAATACCCGCCCTATCAACACCATCACCAACATCCGCAGCAGCAGCCGTCCTACGTCAATACGAGCAACTACCTGCAGCCGACTCCACATCACCCACTCCCTTCTCTATCACAGGCAATCTCTTCACCGTACTCGCTCTCCCCAACTACCCCTCCGCTGGTCCAAGACCCGTCATCCACCCCGTTCAGGTACCCGTCGACCTCTTCGATGCCACCGTCGAGCACTACTTATCCGCCCACGTCCTTCCCACCTACGTCACAACTTGCCGTGCGATCTCACACTCCGCCGTCCTCTAGGCAGCTGTCACCCCCTCACACCTCAGTGAATCACCCGAAACTAGCAGCCCCAGTCATGAAGCCTGCTGCTATAAAGAAGTATCCGTCGGACCACTTTCAAAGGTCCGCCCAAGTCGCCATTTCCGTCAACACCCCCACCTCGATCAGCGCTTCCGTCTCCGCGATCACTCCAACTTTTGCAACCAATTCCACTACTTTGCCTCTTCCGTCCTCTGGAGGCCAAAACATGCCTGCCGTCTCGGCAACCATCCGATCCAGCGTCGCATTAACCATGACCACCCCTTTGTACAAAGATACGCTGCAGAGTAGCACCAGTAGTGCCCAACCGCAATCAAATGTACCGACTTCCGAGGTACAAACCACTCCTGCGACATCCGTGCCAGCTGCACATCGTCAGCCTTCTGCCATGTCGATCTTCAGCGTCATGAACAAGTAACTCGTTGCTGTAAATACGCAACTACGTTCTTTTTTTTTTTCGGTCGAGTTCTTGGGCCCACTCAGCGTATTTGTTGATCGACACTACAGACAAGCTGGAAGCATTTTGAGTTTCGGTATCCATTTTCGTGATGCTGATACGAAGAGAATGTACGAGTCGACGCCCGGGTGAGAGGGACTCCCGTTGCCACCGTTCCCTATTACCTGGTCCGCAAAGTCACTCTATCATTGTCACCATTGCGGCAGAAGATCAGTCGCTTCTAAATGTAATTTTCCTGACTGTAAAAATTGTTGTTCTTGAGATGTTTTATTAGAACGAACTTTGCTTCGGAGTTGTTAACTTGAACGACGGCTTGCAAAGTCTCAACTACGGGCTGCGAAAGCGTAACATTTTCGTTCGACCCGAGATCATCGAGAAAAAGGACAAGGTGAGAAATTTCAATTTGTTGCCTTCCCACCAACCTGTCCTCACTCGCGTGGCTTGCCACTCGCGCCGCCTCCGACCTTGGAGTCCACTAGCAGTCGGAACTGGTTCAACACCTTTTCTTCTCTAAGCTTCTTCTCCTCAACGTTGAACTGGCTCAAAGCTGCCAGTTCCTCTGCCGAGTAAATCTGATTCTCCTTCCGGAGGCGTACAGCCTCCATCCTCCTGTTCCTGCTCCCACTCATGACATATCCATGATGCTCGAAGGACTCAATCTGCTCGCTAGTCAGCCCGATTTCTCCACGGCGAGGAATCCTCGCCCCATCTTGCACAAACGCCGCCATCTTAGATCCCTCTCCTGGCCGCAACGCCTTCCCGTAGTCGACGCTCTTCGCGACATCCTTACTCGCAGTCGGCAGTGCCGGCCCAATAATCTCATCCTCCTCCTCTTCACTCCCATCCATCACAATTCCAATCGAACGGTTCTCCTCTCCCTTCCCCAGCTCCTCCGCTTTACTCCCCCATGCACCTTCCTCACCCACTCCTACTTTCCCCTCGTCCTTCACTACCCCACCCGCAGCCTGCAACTTCCGCGCCCTCTTCGCCTCCCTCTTCAAACGCCTCTCCTCCTTCCTCTTCCTCTTCCTCTCCTTCTTCTTCCTCTCATCCGCCCCCACTTCAAACCTGTCTTCAAGTCTCTTCGGGGGCTCCGGCGACACATGCCAGATATTGACCCTCCCCGCCGCGCGATCGCGCATACGTTGCCGTCTCTGCCACATCGATTCGCCCGCCTTTGCCGCGCGTTCATCTTCGTCAAGCCACTCCCTCCGCCTTCCTGGGGCCCCCACTCCTGCAAGCTGCTCTCCTGACGGCTCCCGAGATACATTCCACCCACGCGGATGCTCCTGAGGACGCGGCTGTCCCCTCGGCGGCTCCCGAGATGCGTTCCCCCGGCGCGGATGCTTCTGAGGATGCCGCGGCGGCGGCGGCGGACGCGGCGACTGTCTTCTCGGAGCGGGTGGAGTCGATGCACGCGGGGGCCGTTCCTCGGCGCGACCGCTACCGCGCCGGGAAGGCTGCGGCGGCGGGGGCGATGGCGGCGGCGGACGCGGAGACCGTCTTCT